GACAGTCTTCTCTTTTGGCAGTTCATGGAATATTCAGTACTCTTCTCCAACACCACAATTCAAGGCACGGATCCTTCTTTCATTTTCCTTATTCCTTGTTCAACTCTCAGATGTATAGGAAGCAACTGAAAATACCATGGTTTGAATCAGGTGCGTCTTAGTCTTTGACATTTAAGTTGCTTTTTCTCATAATTACATGAAACAGATTAGTGGTTGCCTCGGTAAAGAGAAGGGAAAAGATCATTAGGAAATTTTCAGGAATGATCTTTTTGTTTATTATCTTGTTTGAAGTGATTGTTTCAGAGGTGCGTACATATGTCAAAACTCATAAAATGTAACAATTTAAATATGTGAAGTTAATATATTCTTATACCTCAATGAAATATTTTAAAACACATGTAAAAATGAAAATAAAATCTACAATCTAAAAGATATTTATAATACATCTTATTGAGAAAAGATTTCTATCTAGAATATATGAAGAAACCCTGTAAGTCAGTAAGGGAGCTCTTGTGGTGTAGTCCACAGAGGCTCGTGCTGCCAAAGTCCACCCCACTCTCATGGTTCAAATCCACCAGCTGCTCTGCACGTCCATGAGCTTAGCAACCTTTGAAAATCTACTGAAGTGTCAGTTGTAAATTGGTTCCCACTTGACAGCAGTGAATGACTGATAGATCAATAAAAAAATTCTACCTTTGTATTCACTAGGGAACTGTGGTAGCCTAGTAGATAAATAGCTATGTTGCCAACTCAAAGGCAGCAATTCGAAACCACCAGCTGTTCTGAGGGGAAAAGATGGGCAATCTCCTCCAGCGCCTTTATCAGCCTCTGAAAACCTGACGGAGGGTCAGCTGTGCATTGGTTCTGACTTGATGGCAATGAGTCAACAAATTATGTACAAGTACAGACATACATAGTTTTGTTTTGGTTTTTCTTAAATTGTGATTTTAACAAAAGTTTACAGAATAATTGGATTTTTTCATTCATTCATTGTTGCACATTTCCCTCCCTACCCCCCCAGACTGCTTTTTTTTTAAAAAATTAATTCATTGTTACATAATTTCCTCTCTCTCCTCCCACCCCTCCCCATTCCACTTTGTTATGCACCCCTTGTTGTCATACAAATAATGCCTAATCATATATTCCTTTTAACACACATGGGTTTAATAACAAAATTCTGGAAATAGCTTACATGCCCACTGCCAATGGATAATTTGCAAGATAATTGCATGGTGAAATTTTTTGTTTAATTTTTTTCATTCATTTTAATGAACATTTACAGAAATTTTGGATTTCTATCCATTCATTCTCACATTTTTCTCCCTATCCACCCCTCCCCCTCAGTTTGCTCCTCTCTCTGAAAAGTAAAAGAAAAATTACTTCATTGGTATACAATCCCCCCCACCCCCGCCCCGCGCCACATGATGAAATATTTCATTAACTACACAGACAATCAGGATCTTTGGTGGGATAAATAATTAAATGATGCTAATATCCCCTGACACTTAGAAGAAAGATCTAGAAATATGTTTTTGTAAAGATTGTTGTTGTTGGATGTCATCTAGAGGACTGTGACTCACAGTGACCCTATGAATAACAGATCCTCGGCCACCCTCATCATTTCTCATATACATGAGCTGATTGTTACAGCCAGTGTGTAAATCCATATTGTTGAGTTTCTTCTTTTTTTCTCTGATCTCTACCTTTCTCAGTATGATCTCTTTTTCCAGGGACTGGACCCTCCTGACAAGATGTCCAAAGTATATAAAACCTAGTTTTGTCGTCCTTGCTTCTAGGGAGCACACTGGCTGCACTTCCTCCAAGACCGATTTTATTGTTTTGGCAGACAATGGGGTGTTCGACATTCTTCTCCAATATTATAGTTCAAAGGCATCAATTCTTCTTAAAGATTATACCCTAGATAGCAAAATTCAACAAGGCCACAAACAACAAGTACTGGTGAGGTTATGGAGAGATTGAAACGTGTTCATTGCTGATGGGAATGTAAAATGGTGCAACCACTATGGAAGGAGGCCTGGTGCTTTCTCAAAAAGTTGGAAGTAGAAATACCATTTAACTCAACAATTCCACTACTGGGAATATACCCTAAAGAAACCAGAGCCACTAAGCAAATAAATGTATGCACACCCATGTTTATTGCTGTGTTATTTCTAATAGAAAAGAGATGGAACTAACCCAAGAGCCCATCAATAAATGAATGGATAGAAAAACTATGGTATATTATCATAATGGACTATTATGCAGCATTGAAAAGCAATGAACTTGTAAAACACTACACAGTGTGGGGAAACCTGGAGGACATTATGTTGAGTGAAATATCTCAGTCACAAAAGGACAAATACTGCATAACACCGCTGTTATAAAATAGGACAGACATGGGGGTGTTGAGGAGAGAATGGAAATGAGTGGATAGGTAATGAATCCTGCAACAGAACAGACAAGGGGAAGAACTGTCTGCAAGGAATATATGATTAGACATTATATGGACGATCTGGAACAAGGGGTGCATTGCAGAGTATGCTGAGGGGGGCGGAAAATGCACAACAATGAATTGAAAAAATAATGTAAAAATGAAAAAAAAATTACAGTTTAGGAAGCCATAAGGAACAGTCTACTCTTTCACATGGTCTTGCTAACGTGTGAAAGCCAGGTCACCTAAACACAACAACAATACAGATTATCAGCTTGAATATCAGGAGCATATATTGTTGGTGGGTTTTTTGTTTTGTTTTTTCAACCCCAAGTTTTGGAAAGTTAAAGTACAACTTCATTAATAAAAAAAACAGGAACATGTAATTTTTTAAAAACTATGGTATAAAGGAAATGATAAACTTAATATGTGGACTGTGGTTGACTTTGATAGAGAAGAATGAGGATGTAATCAGACAGGGCACTTAGTACTACAAGCATAATGCCAAAATTTTATTTCTTAAACTGAAAGTACAAGAGTGTACATTTCATTATTTTTCTTTAAGTCATCACATCATACAGTATGTAGAAGTCTTACCAATTCAATTAAAAAGTAAATAGAAAATAGTGACAAGCCAAAAGCAGATGAGAATAGCATCAAAGGTCTAAAAGATCTTAAGACAAGAACAGGGACTGTACTCTTGGGAATATTCTAGAGTGATATTTATGAAAGAACTGACTGACTTGAACTGAATTTCAGTCTCCATAAACATGTAGCAAACCTAGTGTTACTCTTTCTTCCCATGGATTACGCTTTATTCTAAATAGTTCGTTTACTGAGCTGCAGGTGAGTACACTTTCTTGGAGATGTTGCAGGAGTAGAAGTGTATAGTAGATGAGAGTTTCACTCCAGATCTGCAGAGCTCTTCTTACTTGTCCTGTTTAATGTGAGGGTTGGTACAGATGGTAAAGAGGAGGGTCTTCATGCGGGTCAGGTATTATGCTAAGGCATTGTGAGGGAAAGAAATATTAAGGAGGAAAAGGTTTTTGGTTGAATTTTCTTAAAAACCTAAGGGAGTCTATCTGTGTCTTAAGGAGTCTTAGGGATGGAGATCTGTTTAAACACATACCATCTGCTTAATTTTGATGAAGAATGGCTTGGACTTTTCTTCCTCTTCTGAGGCTACTAGATCTTTCACGTTCTTGACTGCATGGTTTACTGCCTCACTGCCTTCCCCCACACCCATAGCCAGCCCCCTCCTGGATTCCCTGGGGCCAACTGCATAAAAACATATGTCCTTCAGATAATGGAAAATTTATTCTAAATGCTTATTTTAGTTTGAGAACTACCCAATCCCTCACGCCCACGTTGCTGATGTGTCAGCTCTGAGCTGTGGTTTCTGCACGGTTGAAGGGTTGCCTGTCCTGCCTTCAAGCAGGCCTTGCTTCCCCCACTTCTGATGGCTCCTGTCTGTGTCATTCACTACTACCAACAGGAGACCTGGTGGGTGATATAATAATGGGGAAAGTTCTCTCTTTTCTGAGTATAGTTTCTGTGAATAATAGACATAGAATCTAACAAACTTTTGGAAATAAGGACAATGGTTCCTATAAGGTCACCTAGAACTGAAGAGAGACACTTGGCCTCCATATTGCCCTTATTCCTGAGTCTCCTCAGGTTTCTCAAGCTATCAGATACCTCCCATCTCTAATTTCGTTAGGATCAGTGGCTTGTGCATTGATCACAAGCCTGAGCCCTGAGCTTACTACTGAGTCCTCTGGAAATATTTTTCCCCCGTCTGCTTTTTTCCAATGGACTATCTATCCCTCATACTCAGATTTCCACCAAATGAGTAGCCTTAGTTGTATTACAGAAGCAAAGGTAGAAGTCTAGGAGTATCTGTGCACAAGTGAAAATAGGCTTTAGGTGGTCAAACTTTGCAAGGGACTAATATGATAAACTTGGGGCCATTATCAGGCTTTTCCTCCAGTTCTATTTTGCTCACTAGAAAGATGTAAGATTTGGAGCAGGGCTGGATAGGACACTTGAGTTCTTGTCATCTCTCTAATTTTCTAGGTAACTATCAAGCAATTTCCTGCTTCCTATCCTCAGTTGCTTTACTTGTCAAACAGGATTGTTGAATTGACTTTTCCCTGATTGTGTGAAGGCCAGTTGGACACCAGACAACTATGTGCTATAATGGGTCTCTGAGCTCTGTGAGGAAGTTTTTGAACAATTGGGGTGTTGTTATTTTATGGCATAGTTTGTAGGGAGTTGCACTGTTACCCAAAGGCTATGCCTCTCTGGTGGTTCCAATCTACTAGAATCTCCATGGAGGAAAGATGGGAAGTCTTCCTCCCATGTGATTTACAGCTTCCAAAAACCAGTTGGAGAGTCAGCTATGAGTTGGTTCCAACTTCACAGTGATGAGCGAATGAGTGAAGGATACAGATAATGCTGAAATTAACCTGACAAATCTAAATGATAAAGACCAGTGACAGACCTGGACACAGACTGCAGAAACAAAGGCATGAGACAATAAGATTTACTTCCTCTTTTCTAATTTGAGAGATTTTGTGTTGAAGACATTCAGTGCACTGGAGGTTGCAGTAGACCCAAACACAGTCTCCATGAAGTTAGGCTATATTCTGAGGGCCTGGGTGCTCTGCCTTTTTCTTGCTGTGTTCTGGGCAGCCCCGATGTTACTGGGTAAGTCACATGCTTAAATGTTGATGTGAGAATGGAGCTATGCCTGACTTTGGGGAAATGATCCAATGGAAAGAAATGTGAGCTAATTTTGGCCATCCAAAAGAGTATTGAGGCAGGATGTGAAAGGAGTTTGATGGGCGGGATTGGGTGGCTGTTTATAAAAATCTGCCAGTCTTTTCTATCCAAAAGTACTGTCTTTGATGCCCTACTTACACTATCAGTTGTTTTCTTGTGTTTCTTGGAAGACTAGTGAACATTTTTTTAGTCTCCATTCCTCCTTTTCCCTTCACCTTTTCATGCCTGCAATCTGACTTCCACTAGAATCAGTTTTGCCTACGATGCAATAACCACCATGTTGACTGGACCATTACACTTCCTGCTGGACATCTCTGCTTTGTTGGGGAGTGTTGATCACTTATTATTATTATTATTTTAGTACAGAATACAAATTTGCTTGTACAGGAGCCACGTTAATCATTCCAAAGCAGGCACGGATGACTTAACTATTGTTGACTTTCTCTGCTCTCCAACTGCACTGCAGCCCTTTCCTCCTTGCACTTCCATGTGCTTTGCTTGGTCCCTTTGGTGGCTTATCTTCTCTTCCCTGTACACACTGGGATTCTTAACAGTTACCGTCTTGTCTTGCTCTGTTCTCCCCTCTTTTATTACCCAATTGGTGAGCTTAGTTGTCTGTATAATTTTCACCACTTAAGAGTCCCAAATCATATTTCCAACACTAGCCTGAATGCATCTCTCCTCTCAGCCCTCACCTAATTCACCATGTACTGTTTCTGATATCACCTCGTGGCACTAGCATCCATTTACCAGGTATTCAGAACAGAAAGCTAAGAAAGAACCTAGACGCCTCCCTCTCATTCCCTATATTGGATCAAGTTTGACAAATTTTCTCTTTCCTGAATCATTACTAATATTATCTTAGAAAAATGCTTTGTCTTCTCAAACTTGAGCGAGTATAGCAACTTCATAAGTAATCTTACCATCTCACTCTTGTGCTCTTGAAATGAATTCTCCACTCCGAAGCGAGAATGATTTCTAAAATACAGATCGCCCAGCCTTCTTATCACGGTACATGACCTGGCCCCCAGTTAACCTCTTCAGCCTACTTCCACACTTGTTATGTGTTGTCAAGTTGGAGGTGACTCATAGCCGACCCTTCAGCAACGTAAATCATTGAGAAGGCTCCTAATCATGGCTTGTGAGGCTGTAAATCGTGTGTGAGGAGATTGCCCATCTTACTCCCCCAGAGCCACTGATAGATTTGAACCACGTGCCTTTGGGTTTGCAGCACAAATCCTGCCATTAGGCCACCAGAGCTCCCTTATTCCAACACACGTGAACTTTGACATTTATGCTCTAATAAATACCAGTTTGCTTATATTTACACATTTACCTATCAGATGCTTACTTTTTTCATACTGCTCCATTTGTCTGAATGGGTTTTCCAAAAATCTCCTTACTCACCCCTTCCTTACAAACTTCTATTTTTTTTAAATTTATTTTTATTGTGATGTGAGTCCCTTTGTAAACTCTAAGCTCCCTGAAAACTTAAATGGCAGTGTCACCAGGAATCCTTCATTGAACCCTCCTTTCTCTTCCCTTGGGTTCTTGTGATCATTTTTTCTTTCTAGTTTCCTTTCAGTGTTGGATTCAGTCTCCTCCTATTACATTTACTTATGACAGTGGGTTTGGTTTGAGATTTAATGCTGAACTAATCTATACGTTTGTGCTTTCCACTAAGCTTTTGTAATTTATAGGGAGGTTAGTGGTTTTTTGCTTGCTTGTTTTTAACTTTGTTTTATTAATATTCGAGCTTTCAGGGTTTTTTTGAACGGCCCTAACTGAACTCAGAGAAACAGTACTGGGTGTCTGTACTAAAACACATTTATAGCATTGTAGCAAGAACTCCTTTGGAATCAGAGCCTCTGATTTAAAATGTTTGTCTACTTACTAGCTTTATATCACTTTGATGAAACAGTTTTTCTATCCCTGGGCTTTGTTTTTGACATTCTAAAAAAAGATTCTAAAGTTTTTAACATTCTAAAAAAATATTTCCAAAGTGAAATTCATAATTTCTGCCATTCGTGGTTTATTAGGTGATTGTTTGATAACTCAATAAACAAGCAGTCCAATAAAATTTTATTTTTTAAAAGGAAAAAAGAAATAAGATTGAGAGGAGATAGTGACAGTGGAGGAACTGAAAAGAGGTAGCAGAGTAGTGAATAGAGCAAAGAGAAGATCTGAAGAAAGCAGATGTGATGAGAATTAGGAAGTAAAGTGGGGTCATGAAAAGGGAAGTTACAAGATCAAAGAGGTGTTTTGGATCATTAAAAGTGGAAGAGAATAAAGGCAAATAGGGCAGGAAAGAAAAGAATGGAGAAGTATGTGCATGCCAAATGGCGGAGGGAGAAGGGCACTAGGGGGACCAAGCAATGGGAAAAACACTATTTACTTTACCTGTGTCCCCTAGGGAAATGTGATCTCAGAGGATGTGGTGAGAAACCCAGAAGCCTGAGTTTCAACCTGGAGGCACAGAATTCTTCCACATGTTGTTGTTATGTGCCAGTGAGTCAACTGTGGCCCACAGTGACCCAGTGAACAATTCTGAACCTTGCCCTATCCTGAGCCAACTTTACCATCTCTGACATACCTCACCCCGTTGCCATAGTCACTGTGTCAATCCACCTCATTCTTCTTCTGCACTGAACATCTACCCTTCCAAGAGTGATATCTTTCTGAAAGGACTGGTTCCTACCAGCAACTTGCCCAAAATGTGTGATACAGAGCTTCAAAATCTTTGCCTCCAAGGAGCAAACTGGTTTCACCCTTTCCAAGACATACCTTTATTTTTTTTGTCTCTTAACAGTCCCTGGTATGTTTGATACTCTTCTCCAGCACCGCAACTCAAAGGTATCAATTCTTCTTCTGCCATCTTTATTTATTGTCCAGCTCTCAGATGCATAGCAAGCAATTGAGAAGACCATGGACTGGATCAGACCTTAGTCTCTAGACTGACATTGTTGCTCTTTAGCACTCTGGAGAGATCCTTGACAGCAGATTTTTTCTAGTGCAACTCATCTTTTGATTTCCTGACTGTTGGTGCCAGGGTGTTGATTGTGGGTCCAAGCAAAATTAAATAATTAGAAATCTCAACCCATCCTCTATCTATCGTGGTATTGCCTATTAGCCCCTATGTTGCGGATCTTTGTTTTCTTGATGTTGAAATGCAGTCTTTGTCCTTTTGTAGCAAACACTTCAAGTTCTTCTCCGTTTCAGCGAGCAAAGTTGTGGCATCAGCATCATGCAGATTGTTGATGAGTCCCACTCCAATCCTGATGCCACATTGTAGTGATCTGTTCCACATGTAGATTGAAAAGGTATGTTGTTGTTAAGTGCCGTCAAGTCATAGATGACTGACTCATTGCGACCCTATGAACAAAAGCCTTCATCTCTTGCATGATTTTTACCCTTTTTCTAGGTTCATAGGGTTTCTGGAGGCAAGCTTTTACAGAAGTGGATGCCACTCCTGCTTCCAAGCTTGTTTTAATCGGGGAGCGCCACCAAACACTGTCTACCATGGGTAACCATTATCGCATTTGACACATCAGTGTTCAGCTTCACAGCAACCACAAGTTACCTCTGTACAAGTGGAAACACTAGGGCTATACATGACCTACAAGAACGTTTGACCAAAAACAATTAAAAATAGGCCCGAGGAACACAAATTAGAGTCATCCACCTTTGGCTTGGTAGCATCACTTTCTGTCTGTCCACTAGGCCAGCTGCTCTCTCTCTATGTTGTTAAGTGCCGTTGAGTCGGAGATGACTCATAGCGACCCTGTGAACAAAAGCCCTCAATACTTGCGTGACTTTCATCCTTTCTCCAGGTTCATAGGGTTTCTGGAGGCAAGCTATATTTTCCTGACATGCCTTTCTTGATTTTTAACCATACAGTATTCCCTTGTTCTGTTCATACAACAGCTTCTTGGTCTAGCTCTAAGTTTCACATGAGCACAATCGAGTGTTCTGAGATCCCTATTCTTCCCAACATTAGCCACAATTTGTTGTAATCCACCCAGTCAAATGCCTTTTCACAGTTGGTAAAACACAAATAGACATCCTTCTGATACTCTGTACTTTCAGCCATGATCCACTTGACATCAGCAATGGTATCCCTAGTGCCACAGTCTCTTCTAAATCCAGCCTATATTTCTGGCAGTCCTCTGACAAGGGGATGTTCCAGTCTTTTTTTTTTTTTTTTTTTTTTAATAATCTTCAGCAAAATTTAGCTTACATGCGATATTATTAAAATTTTTTCACATTCTGTAGGATCACCTTTTTTGTGAATGGGAATTGAGCATAGGAGGTTGAGCTGGAGGGAAGGTCCTAGAAAGAGCTCTTCCATTTCCAAGAAAAGTTCAAGGAGTAATCAATATAGAGATGCTTGAAGAATTGATAAGGAAGCAAAAGGATGGTGGTCTAGGTTATCAAAAATTATGTGGTAAGAACATATTCATGGTTGATGAGCTAAGTCAGTTCTGGGAAAGAGTGAGTATGCAAAGAAGCTCCCAAGGAAAGATGAAACACAGAAAGTCTTGAGGATCAAGTATATCATATCTAAACAGTGAAGTAAAAAGAATACTGACTTTGGATTCAGATACATCTGATTATCTCGACATCTTTTAAATTTTGGGGTAAATTAATCTACTTTGTAAAGCCTGTTTCTTTAAGATATATAACATAAGTTGAAATTACATGTTTAGAAAACTTGTGACATTTAAAAAAGATAATGTGTGAAAATGGCTAGCAGTGTCTGATATATGGTAAACACCCAGTGAATGGTAGAACCACTTTCATTCTCGCCTGTCTTTTATCTGACTGCGTTGAGGTCACCCTTTCTTTTGGTCTCATCAGCTGGATATAATGCTGATGAGTTCACCATTTTGCCATCCTCATTGGCACCCTCCTGCTACTTATTAGCTCTATGTCACTTTAAGAAAGTAATTTTTATATCTCTTGGGCTTCGATTTTCTCATTTTAAAAAATAAACTAATGATATCTGACTCCCAATATTTGTTGAGTGAATGTTCAATAACTCAACAAACAAGTAGTCCAATAAGACTTCCTTTTTTAAAATTTTATTTTATTTTATTATTTTGGTGTACCATCAAATCAGATCTGACTGGTACAGGAGGAGATTGCCCCTCCTTTTCCAGCAGAGCATCTGGTGGACTTGAACCAATTACCTCTGAGATTGCAGTGGAGCTTAAGACTTCCTTTTTAAAAAGGAGAAAATGAGAGGAGGTTGAGTCCATCTGAGATCCCTAAGAGGGCATGGGACCAAAGTCAAGTCCATCCCTTGATGAGATCTATGTGGTCTGTTGGGAAACAATCTGTGGGCCTTCCTGCTTTCCCTCTAAAATTGATGATCCTCCAAGATAGAGAGGAATCCTTCTGGAGGTTGAATTTTTGTGTTTTATCTCCATGTTTCATCATCATTTTCTTTGCCCTCCAACCCCTAGCCATGCCCCGTTCAGCTGCGCATCTTGAGATGCTGCCATGTGAAGAAACCATGTCCTCTGGATCTGTCAGCACGCAGGAGGACAGCTGCCACAATGACGATAACTTGACTGGCTCAAGAGACGATGGTTTCCTGATCAAAGGCTACTCTTTCAGTGAACCTTTCCATCTGATTGTGTCCTACGGTGAGGTCCCAGGCAGGACTGACCAATGAAGGGCTGCTGTTTCTTCCACCCCTCAAACCTCTCTTTCAGCCAGCCCCACACTCCATTTAGGAGGTATCCCTAAGAAACTGACCAAGTAAAGAGATACTTTCTTCCATATCTTCAAGCCACAATGGGTATAATGCTATCACACTATAGAAGCTGATCCACACTTCCAATCAGGGGCCAGAGTTATCTGGAGTCTCAAAGAATATGTAGGGGCTCTGATCAGGGGCAGCATTAGGAAGCTCCAAGGGAGGTGGTTGATAAATCTTAGCTGTTGTTTTGGGTCACAGATTGGCTGATCCTTCAAGGTCCATCCAGGCCTGTGTTTGAAGGAGACTCTCTGGTTCTGCGCTGCCGGGCCTGGCAAGATTGGCCATTGACCCAAGTCACCTTCTACCGGGATGGCTCGGCTCTAGGTCCCCCTGGACCTAATAGTGAATTCTCCATTGCTGTGGTTCAAGAGGCAGACAGTGGGCACTACCACTGCAGTGGTGTCTTCAAGAGTCCTGGGGCTGGAAGCCCAGAAACAGCATCTTCTGTGGCCATCACAGTCCAAGGTGAGAACAAGAATCAGTGTTATGGTGGTGGAGGGTAATGAGGAGAGATAATTTTTTTTTTCTTATTTTAGGAGAGATAATTTGTCCTTCTACGTCCTGGCAGTAGATTAAAAGGTTTAAATGTTTTCAGACCTCACCTACATAGACTAAACAAAGCTGGCCCAGGAGTCAGGAGACCCAGCTGTTTGCCTAGACATTTCCCCTTTACAAAAGCAGATATAGGCTATTTCCAAAGCCTCTTTACACTGCTCTTTTGTTGTCTGTGAACTGGAGGACCTGAGCAGACCCCATTACAGATAGTGGTGAGGCTTAAGTAATGTTCCCAAGGTTTTTTTGTAAATTGTAGTATACAAAATATATTATTTTTTATTGATTATAGTTCAGGTTTGGAAAACTAAGAAAATACTCAGATTGGGCTTTGGGAAGCATGGAACCTCAGCAAGGCCTTGTCATTTTTTTTTTTAAAGTGATGTCTTTTCTCTCCTTATCAAGTCCAGTATATTTGCTATGGAGTGTTTACAGTGTTTCCTATGTCTGAGTTTTTGGTTTGGTTTGGTTGGTTTTTACTGTATCTTTGAAAAGTGAACCTTTCAAAGGTTCAAATAGAACTTTTCTAACAGAACCTACTTCTGAAGGAAAGTGTGGCTGGAGTTCTTAGCTATCACAGGAACATCAGAAGGCAGGCTGCCTGAGCTCTTCTTTCTCACCCCTCTCTCCTCAGAACTATTTCCAGCTCCAGTTCTCAGTGCCACACCCTCAGCTGAGCCCCAACAGGGGGTCCCAGTGACCCTGAACTGTCAGGCAAGGCTGTCCCTGCACAGGTCAGCCACACGCCTCCTCTTCTCCTTCTACAAGGATGGCAGAATGGTGAGAAACAAGGGTGTCTCCTCAGAATTCCAGATCCCCACAGCTTCAGAGGAACACTCTGGATCCTACCGGTGTGAGGCAGCCACTGAGGACGGTCAAGTGTGGAAACAGAGTCTTCAGCTGGAGATAAGGGTGCAGGGTGAGTGTGTCTGTGTGTCTGGTATGTGTCTCTGTGTGTGTTTGTATGTGAAGAGAAGTAGAATGTCTGAGTCTATAACTGGGGTTCAGTTTGAGCAGGCAGTGAGGAAAAAAAAAGAAGGCAGGAACAATAAACTAGAATCCCTGGGGATGAAAGAAAGCATAAATAGAAAATTTATACGATATGTAGTATATAGAGAGCTCTAGTGGCCTTGTGGCAAGAAGCTGCACTGCAATGCAAAAGGCACCGGCAGTTGCTCTGTGGAAGCGGGATCGGCAATCTCCTATAAAATTTACTGCCTCTGAAAACTTGCTGAAGTGTCAGCTGTGAGTTGGTTCCAACTCAACAGTAAACAACAATGTGTATTATATACCAAACCAAGATCTGAGGTAGTTCTCTAGCTACTGTCCCTAGAACTTACATATCCAACTTGACCTCTGAACACTTGGAGAAAGACTAATTAGAATAGGGATAGAGTTAGCCCAGAATCTGTGCCCAGTTCTAGGATCCATCTTTATTGTGGCTGTATTTGACTTAAAATATATACCAGACCAGAGAAGGTGTCCAGGGTGATGAGAACTTGAAACCATGGCATATGAAAAATAATGGAAAGATCTCAAAATATTTGGTCTGTAGAGAAGAGGACTCAAGTGACCACCACAGACATCCTCAAAAATTTGAAGGATTGGACTCTTAGCCACCAAACACTTTCAAAGGATGAGGGCGATTGAGCAGTGACATGAGGGCAGAGACAGAGTCTAAGTGTTTTTTTTATGTATGTGCTTCTGCTCTTTAACACAGGACCCTCCATCTCTGTTGCATCTCCTCCCTCAGCTCCTCAGAAGCCATCTGTTTCAGACACTGCTTCAACCGAACCCCCAGGACCTCAGCCTTCTCTGACCTCCCCTTCTGAGAATCCAGCTTCTGAGAACCCATGCTTATCCTCTCCTCTGCTGGCGCATGATCCCCACCTGCATCACCAGATGGGCATTCTTCTCAAACAAATGCAGGAAGTTAGAGCTCTCCTTGGGCACCTGGTCATGGAGTTGAGGGATTTATCTGACCGCAGGAAGCCAGGCACCCCAAAGGCTTCTGCTGAAAAAAAGTAAACCTTTCATTCACAACTTAATTCACCCACCCCTAATAATTTCAGCTCTTCATTCTGCACATATGTATAGTTTTACAATCTGTTAAGTGTTTTGTTAAAATAATAGGAATATAAGTTGGTATAAATAAATTTGACCAAAATTATAATTAGTTTTACTATAATTGTGTACACTTTCTTAATTAACATTAAAACATACCTCTGTTCTTTTAAATTAGACATTCACTTCAGTCACTGAGACCAGAAAAAGGTGATTTAAAAGACAGAAATGGAGATGATTTAAAGCCACTGTTCTCAATCACAGAGAACTCTCCCTTATTCCCTCTCAAAGTGCACGTTTGACAATGTCTGCAGCTCCCTGTGAGGTATCTTTGGATGGAATTGAACCACTGATCGTGTAGGTGGTGACTGGTATGCTTATTGTTTGCACCATCCAGGCACTCCATATTAGATAAAATCACTGCCATTGAGCTTGCTCTGACTCATAATGACTATCTATTAAATGTATTTCTGAGATTGTAAGTCTTTCTCCCTCCTCACCCCTCAAGGAACTACTGGTGGATGTGAACTATTGACCATTCAGTTGACAGCCATACCTTTTACACACTATGGCACCAGGGCTCCTTTGTTCTAAATAGAACTCTTACTCAGTGCTGTCAAGTCAGAACCAATTTATAGTTGATCCTCCAGTGGGTTTCCGGAGGCTGCAAATGACAAAGTAGAAGACTACCTATCTTTCTCCTTCATGGATTTGAACCCCTGGTGGATTTGAATCACCAGGAAACTGCTGTCTTTGGGTAAGCAGTGCAACTCCCTAGGCACTCCACCACCAGAGAACCCTTTGCTTTAGGGAAGTGTAGCCTAGACTTCTATTTTCAAAACTCTTCTTAATGATGATGATGAAGAATTTGTTGGAAATTTTAGATGGATCAACAGTCCTCAGGCTTTTTGGGTTTAGGATATTTTTATAAAAGAAAATTTTTAATTTTAATTGTGATTTTAATGAAAGTTTACAGAAAAGTTAGATTTTCATTCATTCACTTATTGTTGCACATGTTAACCCCCTCTTCATCCTTCTCTTCCCCCTCCCGCAGTTCACTTTTTTTTTTTTTAAATATTCATTCATTTTGGACAATTATGCCCCTTCCCCTCCTCCAGGATATTTTATCATTTCAAAATTATTTAAGAGCTCCAAGAGCGTATACTTACATAGTTATATTTACTGACATTGTCCAAATTATCAGTAAGATGGAAAAATGTTAAAAATGTCTCTTACTTCACTTTGTTGTTATCAGGTGCCATTATTACTTCACATAAATGATAATTACTAATCCATTAACAAAAATGTTACTTTTATGAACAATAATGAGCTTTTAAAACAAAAAGCAGCTGTGATGTATCCTCTCCAGTAAAAATAGCAAAATTCAACAAAAAAATGCTGACGAGGTTGTGGAAGACTGGAACCCTTATTCACTTTTGGTGGGAGTGTAAAATTGTGCAACCACTATGGAAGGCAATATAGTGCTTTCTCAAAAAGTTGGAAATAGAAATACCATTTGACCCAGCAATTCCACTACTGGGAGTATGCTTGAAAGAAATCAGAACTGCCACTCAAGCAGGTATAAGTACATCCATGTTTATTGCTGCTTTGTTCACAATAGCAAAGAGTTGTTGGAAACAACCCAAATGCCTATCAGCAAATGAATGGATAGAAAGCTGTGGTATATTCACACAATGGAATACTACGCTGCACTGAAAAACAAGGACTCATGAAATACTATACAAAGTGAGTGACCCTGGAGGACATTAAGCTGAGTGAAATATCTCAGTCACAAAAGAAAAATACTGCATAATGCCACTGTTATAAAACAGGACTGACATCAGGGAAACTAAGAAAAGAGAGGATAAATATAATGTACACTTCATTGAAAGACATGAGGCAAAGAACTGTTTACAAGGAATATATGATTAGGAATTATTTGCATGACAAGAGTCCAGAATAAGAGCTACATAGTAAAGTGGCCTGGGGGTGAGGGATTGTATAGCAATGAAATAATTTTTTATTTTTCAATAAGAAAAGTGAACTAGGGGGAGGGGTGAGCAGGGAGGAAAATGTGCAACAATGAATTAATGGAAATCCAAGTTCTCTATAAACTTCTATTAAAATCTCAATTAAAAAAGGGGGAAAAAATAAACAAAAAATGTGAGAAGTGTAATATGTTTACTGGGGTTTTCCCCCCCTACATCTTTCTTTCTTTTCTTCTTTTTTTAAATATAATGTGAAGTTTTATTATGAAATTAGTCCTGGCCCATAAATGCTGTGTGTGCAGGCAAAACTACAGAGTTGAGAATACATTTTCTTCCCTAATATTTCAAATTTAGGTGACATGGTTATCAATCTCCTACAATTACTTACTCCCTTATCACTTAAAGCCTGAAGTTTGAGTTCTTAAGGCTTGGCAAGTTCCTTCTTTAAATAGCAGGACTCAAAATAGGGATTAAAAAAAAGGACAAGATACAAGTTGTTTTGTATCATTTAACACTAGGATCCACATTTTTAATGTGTGTGAATGATAATGATTCTTCAAAATCTTCCTTTAGTAAAACTACAGAAAAGTAGGTGAACAAGTCAGATAAACAGTGCACAGACCCGCAAAAAAACTACTTTCAAAAAATAAAAGAGGAACAGGGACTTCCATGGAGACAGCAGGGCTTCCAAAGGTCTTAGTGCAATTTTCAGCATTGGTTCTCCTACATCTTTGTAATGTTGAACATAATAAAAGATAGTTGAATTTTCACATCTGCTTTTGTGTGCAATTTTTTATATGACCTTTCTCTTAAAACTTATACAACTTATACAGAAAATCAATATCACAGAAAGATGTAGTTGAAAAAAGGCAGAAAATTTAAGATCCTTTTCTGATAATTATGGGTATTCTTTGATGTGACCTCAAAACTTGATAAAGCATTGTTGTTGTTATGTGCTGTCGAATCACCTGCCTGTGACTCATAGCAACCCTATGTACAACAGCTCTGAATCCTGCTCTATCCTGAGCCAATCTCATTGTCTCCAACACATCTAACTCCATCACACTAGTCACTGAGGCAATCCATCTCAGCCATGGTCTTCCTCTTTTCACTGTCCCTCCACCCTTTTAAGCATGATGTCCTCTCCAAGGACTAGTCTCTCTTGGCAACATGCCCAAAGTATGTGAGATGGAGCTTCAAAATTCTTGCCTCCAAAGAACAGCTTGGTTTCACCCTCTACAGGACAGACCTATTTGTTTCCTTGGCAGTCTGTGATGTGTTCAATGCTCTTCTCCAGCAAAATGCAAAGGCATCAATTCTTCTGTCATCCTTGGCTACTGTCCAGTTCTCTGATGCATAGAAAGTACTTGTGAAGACCACGGCCTATATCAGGCACACTTTAGTTTCCAGACTGACATCGTTGCTCTTCAGTACTCTGGAGAGGTTCCTGAAAGCAGATTTTCCCAATGCATTTTGTCTTTTGATTTCCTGGCTGCTGGTACCAAGAGTGTTGATTGTGTGGAGCCAAAGAAACCAAAGCTGTTAACAATCTCAGTCTCTTCTCCGTTTATCATGATGTTGCCAAGTGACTCAGTGATGAGAATCTTTGATTTATACTGAGCTTCAATCCGTATTGAAGGCTGCAGCCCTTGACTTTCTGCAGCACATGTCTCAAGTCTTTCTCAATGTCAGCAAGCAAGATTTTGTCATCTGTATAATGCAGGTTGTTGATGAGTCTTCCAATCCTGATGGCACATTCCTCTTCTTAAAGTCCAGCCTCCTGGATGATCTGTTAAACATTTAGATTGAAAAAGTATGGAGATAAGATCCATCTCTGGCATACACCTTTTCTAATCTTGAAGCATGTAGTATTCTGACTCTATTTTGACGACTGCTTTCTGGTTAAAGTATAGGTTTCGTATAGCACAATTAAGTGTTCTGAGATTCTCATCCTTCTCAAGGTTAGCTACAATATGTTGTAATTCACACAGTCAAATGCCTTTGAAACAATGTCAATGTCAGTGAAACACAGATAGATATTCCTCTGGTGCTCTCTACTTTCGCTAAGATACATCTTACCATTGGCTATAACATCCCTAGTACTACGGCCTCTTCTAAACCCAGCCTGCATATCTGTAGTTCTCTGCTGATGTGCTATTCCAGGTATTTTTGGATAATTTTCAGAAAGATCTTGCTTGTGTGTTATATTAGTAATATAGTTTGATGATTTCCACACTAGTCAGGTTACCTTTTTTTGAAATAGGTATAAATAAGGATCTTTTCCAGTTGTCCTCCATATTTCTTGGCACAATCGGGTAGTGAGCCCAGAAGAGCATCTGTTTGTTGAAATACGTCAATTGGTATGCCATCGGAAGTATTTTTGTTTTGTGCTTGCCGTCAAGTTAAAATTGACTCACAGCTCACTCTCCAGTAGGTTTCCAGAGGTTGTAAGTCTCATGAGAGGAGACTGATCCTCTTTTTCCCCTGCAGAGAAGTTGGTGGATTTGAACTACTTATCTTTAGGTTGGCAGTGCAACTCTATACCCAGTAGGCCACCAGAGCTTCCTTGATAAAGGTGGTTCCTTAAATATTATTAGTAATATGAAATCCAAAGTCATATCAATGAATATTTTTACTTGTGCGTTAAAATCTACTAGTCCCTCTTAGACTTTAAAGAGATCTGCTATTTATCCATTGATCATTTTAAAAGATTGAGTCACCAAGTATATAGATATTCCAAATGTTGACACCACCTCTATATAAAAATATTTTTATAATTGTATTTGCTGATTTGACTGCCCATTTCCACTGCTGGCTCAAAGGTGGTTTGAAACCACTAGCTGCTCCATAGAAGAATTTTGGGCAGTCTCCTTTCATGCAATTTATAGCCTCAGAAACCCAATGGAGGGTCAGCTTTGAGTCTATTCCAACTTGATGGTAATGAGTTTGAATTTTTTTAGTTTATCATCAGAAAAA